GTAAATAACAATATATAATCTTCTCATTGCCATAATTATATAGTACTCTGAATTCTTATATGTAAAAACAAATTAAGAAACTTACAAGAAACTTACAAGGACAAGTAGAAAGCGATCGGGGACATTAATTAAAAAACGCAACACTTCATAAAAAATTAAGGATCCGAGTTCTCAATTAAAATGCATATGAGGAGATGCATGAGATCAGAGCTACGGAAAGTATTCTGACTCCCATTTCTTTTTAAAAAACCAGTCTCCGACAAGAGGAACAATAGGCTTCTTCTTCATCATCTTCCTCTCTCTTCTCCCACCAAAAAACTCTTCCCCCCCAATGCTCAATATATGAGCCAGTGTCTGGTTGTTCTCCATTCTCTTCTTCAGCTCTTTCCTCCTCTCTTCTTCTCTCATTACATCTATCTTTCCAAAACTCGCTGCAGCTTTCCTGGCGGCCACTGCCTCAACCTCAGCCAACTTGGACTTGTTCTTATGTAGCTCGGCGTTAAGAGAGGCCAAAGCGACCTCCATCACGGATTCCCTCTCCCTCAACACCCTCAATTCTGCTTTTGTATTCTCGAGCTCCACTTCAAGCTTTTTGAGGGCAACCAGGAAGTCATGTTCCTCTTGTCGACAGTGATTATGATGATTCCACTGACTGAGTTGGTTACTCTCATTGCTCATTTCTTCAGGGCTTTCATGTCTCGGAGGGGTGAAGGCATAGGGTTTTGGACAGTATATTTCTCCAACGACAAGCCTCTCGCCGAATATGGCAACGGCTTCTTTGACAGAACGAAAAGGGCGAGAAGAGTCGACGGAGGAGCGATAATCTCTTGGTTGGGTTTGAGGTTCCATATTGGCGCGGTGAGGAATGAGAATGATCGATGGATGTTTGTATATATGTCGGAGAAAGAGGGAGAAATATAATTTGATGGCGATTAGGTTTTGGCTTCCTTTGCTTTTACTACAAAAGATTACAGAGCTAGAGAGGAGTGAACGGTAAGGAGATATGGTAGACGACGTGGATGTACTAACTTCTGGCCCATGCATCGTGCTGAGGGGGCTCCATCAAAAAGCTAATTTGGGTGCTTAAATTATAGAATTAAATTAACTGCCTTTTTGTGTCACATCCTTGAAAGTCGAAGCTCTGGTCTTACCATCGTAAGGAATTCTAAAAGAGTTATTTAGTCATTTTAGTTGACCTAACATAAACCTCGGTTGATGATGTAGATATATAATATGGATACGACCACATCCATTGGTTATATTTGTAGAAGAAATTTAAGCAACAATAAAATAAAATATAGGTTAAACCCCCATTTTAGCCCCTCAACTATTGTACATGCCCTCGATTGAGTCCCTCAACTCAAAAATCTCTAATTTGATCCCTACTGTTTACCATCTTTACCCCAACTTTGTCCTTCATTAAATTGTTCACGTTAATTGACGGAAGAAGTATTACGTGTCTAAAATTTTCACACGTAAGATTGACAACTAGACAAAATCAAATGACATGACCAATAATTTTATCCACATAATTTCAACTCATTCCACCCAAAATATATTTCCTTTTTTTTTCCCCTCTCTTTCCTCTTTCCCTTTCTCTTTCCTTTTTCCTTTCTTCAACTTCTGCAAACCCAATAGATTTGCTGGGTTTTTCTTCCTTTTTTCCTCTCTTTGCTCTTTCTCTTTCTCTTTCCTCTCCCCTTTCCTTTTCCCTTTCAACTTCAAACCTAGCAGCTTTGCTGGGTTTTGGAACCCAGCAGATTCGTTGGGTTCTAGAACCTAGCAGATCTGACCCAACAAATTTGCTGTTTTTTTTTTTCTCTTTCCTTTTTCCCTTTCTATTTCTCTTCCCTTTTCCTTTTCATTTTCCTTTCAACTAATAACCCAGCAACTCTGCTGGGTTTCTCTCTCTCTCTCTCTCTCTCTCTTTCCTCTGTCCCTTTCTCTTTCTTTTTCCTCTTCCCTTTCAATTTAGATTTGCAAGATTTTGCTGTTGATTTTTGGTCTTTGTTTTAGGTGCCTAGTTGGGTATTGGTAGAAATTTGGGAGAAGATACTTTGATTTTTTTGGGTTTTTTGGAAGGTTGAGAGGGCTATTAGGGAGATTTTGGATTTATATTTGTGTTATGCTTGGATTTGATGTTAGAAGGTGTTTAGATTTGGAGAAAGTGAAAGGAAAGGAAAAGGAATAAGAAAGGGAAAAAGGAAAAACAAGAAAGCCAAAAATGGGCGTTCAATTTCGAACCCAGCAATCACTAGGTTCTTTCATGAGTTTGAAAAAGAGGTGATGAAAATGGTGATGAAAGTGGATTCAGAGGAAAAAGATTGATAAATTGATTGTTTGATTTAGAAAATGATGATGAAAGTGGATTCAGAGGAGGTAAAGAGAGAGAAAAAGAAGAATGAATGAAGAAGATTTGTGAAAGAGGATGTTGTAGGAAGAAGAAGAAGGTAAAATTGTAATTTTAAATGAATTAGATAATTAAATTTTAACACATCATTTATTTATCCATGTTGTTAAGTTGATGTGTCACAATATGTTGACATGTTATCAAGTTTCCATGAGTTAATGAGACACGTAGGTGGATTTTTAGCGGATTTTTAACGGAAGGACCAAGTTAAGGTAAAAATGGTAAACAGTAGGGACCAAATTAGGGATTTTTTGAGTTGAGAGACTCAATCGGGGTCCGTACAATAGTTGAGGGACCAAAATGGGGGTTTAACCTAAAATATATCAAAAAAGTGAGAGGAAAAAATTTTATTAATTGGATCACTAAAAATTAAAGTAAGGTTGTAGGATTTTCTTAAAAGTTTGAAGAAAAATTAAGTTTTTATTTGATTTAAAAAAGATTGAGGCAAATTTAAGGATTAAATTTAGCATTTAATCTTTTATTTATTGGTAAATAAATATTCTCTCTATTTCATAATAATATTTATTTTTTAACTCAAATCTTGTGTTTGATTAATTTTTTTTTCTTATTTTAAGAGACCAAAAAAATTTCCACTCTAACCTTATTGTTTTCCAATCACTTTAATTATTTATCATATAAAAAAAGTTTCTATTTATTTTTATTTTTTTAAGGATAATATTAATAAAGCATAAATTACTTTAAAATTTTTAATATGAGAAAAAAAGTAAAAAAAAATAATTATTATTGTGGATCATAAAGTATTAAAATAGACAATAATTTAAGCTTTTAAGTCAACATTTAATATTCTTTGAATGCATTGGGATTTATGGATATGCTCTTAAGAGTGTCAAAAAGGGATTAGCATTAGGACGTCCGCAGGCAAATGCTTACTCAATTAAAGGCCAGCATAGTTTGGTTTGAAGAAAATTGAGTGAAAGGAAAAAATTTTAGCTAATTAATTTTTTTACTATGAACTTGGATTTATTTATTTATTTATTGATATTATTTATTTATTAATTCATCATACTTATATATTATGTTATTTAAATTTAAAATCTCTTATTTAAAAAAAAATGAGATAACAAGTGGGTCACTTAAATGTTGCACAATAATCATAATTAATTTATACTTTTATTGTTTTACCCTTCAATTATGTAGATAAATATGATCAATATTATTTGACGAACTAGATTATTAATAGATGTGAGCTTTAAATACGGAGTTAAAAGGAGAACAAAAATAATTTGCTAATATGGTAGAACATTAAAAATTAAAATTGGCAGTCAGCAAAAATTTAATTAAAAAAACTACACGTACATACTAAATATTTATTACATGTATATATACAGCTAGCATTACAGCCTCTAATTAGCTGGAATACAAATATTATATTGCCTAATGATCACAACGTCCATAATTAAATTACCATAAAGTAGATATTGTAGCAAGTATCAATGAACCTTTCTTCTTCCCAAAGACATGGCTGGCAAAGTAGCTAACCCGTCGTGCTGGCGCAATTACACATTTGCACGTCCCAATCCTTTATCGTGTACCATAATTTAACAGTATCCGGTACACTACCTGACTAGTCATGCCAAGCCTTTTTTTAGGTAAAATGTCAATCTATTACCCAAATTAAATGATTGTCATTACAAAAGTGGCTAGCACAGTAGCACTGTTAGACAAGGCTGCCACACTTTGGAAACTTAAAATACAATAAAGTTCATTATAGTTTAATGACTTCTACAAAGAAAATCCAATCGTCCCTGTTTAGAGGCATTGTTAACTGGCATAGGAGATGCCCCTGCTTTGGCAAATCCTGAAATCATGTCTCTTGTATCAGGGTGTGTTGTGTGTATTTGCAAGCCGACCTTAAATCAGTATTTTTTCATGTCCAACCCTTGACTTAGTTCTTATATGACCACCTTCTTTTATTGACAAAATTAAAAAGTTAATTAGTACCAATAATATGTTATTTTAAGTAGAAAAAATTTGAATTCTTTTAAATAAGGTTTCAAAATTTAATATTATAAATTAAAAAATAAGTATTATAAGAGTTTCTATTTATTGGGTTTCACGTAATTTGACTTTAAATTTGTCATGATTTAATATGACTTCTAAATATTAAAAAGTTAGTAAAAAAAAATTATCATATATGTTAATGACTTTAATAATTTAATAATAATTTTTTATTAAAAATAAAAAATATTAAATTAAAATTATATGCCATGTAAGAGATAAAAGAGGATTTACTATTAAGATAAAAAAAATTATATCTAAGTATAATAAAAATGGTAGTGGTTGCCAGCGTTCACATTTCTTTGTCTCTCCAGCTGTGTGGTCAACCTCTAAAATGGTTTTGAAGAATGGCATTTTTGCAATTTCTGTTTTCTTTTAGGGCATTTTTGTAATGAGAAACCCAATGCTCTCCCTCCTCTAGGGGATTGGACCGTGGCTATAGAGACACGTAGCCGAGTCGATCCTACCCCTCTTCCCATCCAGCACCTTTTCTTCTTTCTGCAACACCATGGATGACGTCGAGCAATTGTTTCAATGTTTCAATGCTTCAAGTGCGGCATCTCTCCTCCCCGTAGGCCTGTCTCTGTTCATTCTCTTTCTTTGCATTTGAATTCCTTAGGCAAAACTGAATTTGGATTTCATACCTCGAAATCGAAGAAGAATAGAAAGATGATCTTCTTTCACTAAATAAAACTTCAAATCTATTCCGAGTTTCATCAATTAAAGTCCTGAATCAAAGATTTTGATTTGGCTTATTTGAGATGATAGTGTAGTTCTTAGTTCCATGTTTTGTTTTCGCAGAACTTACTTTCCAAGGAAGGAAAAGAAACAGGAGAGTTCAGTGTAGAACGAGGTCTTTGCATCATCAGGCCTAGAACCACCAGGAAAGAGGCAGGAAAATGCCACAGACGCACAGCTCTCCACGGAGAGTGTAAGTACTTTGGATTGCTTTTGTTTCAGCCATATCCATGTCTTTCGATTTGGTTTGCAAAAACTTCTACTTCTGTGATTGTCGTGGATTGCTATTTTCTGATTTTGTTAAATGATTGCTATTAGAGTATTAAGTATTGTTTTGGCATTTTAGAGTAATTGATGAGTAAGCAAATTAAGATTTGAGTTCGTTGTTGTGGTTTTATCGTTCTCAATTTGTTGTTTTCTAGTTTGCCCATTTTGTTTCCTAAGTCTTGCCCAGTCATATTTTGACTCATGTTGGTTCCTTAAGTAGAAAATAAAATAAAATGTTTGGATTTTTGTTTTGGGGATTTTGACAGTCCACCAACTGGGATTGGTCAAAATGGAGAGGAAGTAAGAAAAGGGTGGACCTTTTGTGTCTGCAGCATTTGATTTGGTTGGACTTAGGTGTTAGGTCTCCATTGGCTTTGATGGAATTCAAGAGTTGGGGTCCTTGGGGATTCATATTTTTCTGCCATATAAATCAGTTAAATTCTGATTCTCAAAATGATGGTGTATAATTTATTATTTAAGTAATTATGAGTATATTTTTTATTATTCAATGTCAATGCTCAATTTAAGTAATGACCAAAATTTTCTTAGCGAAAACTTAGCGAGCTTTTCTCACTAAAATAATGCTTTTACAAGTGCATTTTGAACATGTGATTCTTCCTAATTTAGCTTTTTTGTTAATTAAGTTGTTTTTATATAATCACGTAATGTCAACCTTTCAGGAAGGATTCAGAAACATTTTTTGGAGAATGGAGAATGCAGATTTATCTCACCAGGAGAATGTGCAGTTTAAAGACCTACTCAAAACAAATTTCTCATATTTGAATTTTTGTATAAGCTACTCATGTAAAATTTTGCATATGCATTGTTGTAATATGAAATCATAACATACTTTGCAAGTCATTTTTTAAAAACTCAATACATCGCAAACACTTCGCGTAGCAGGTGGGAAATGTTAGTATATTGACGAGAGAACGAAAATGTTTTATTTGATGGCACTACATACGTTATATATATTACTCGTGATTTCTATAAAAATGTTAAAGTATCAATAATTTTTTATTAGTTAATTAAAATTAAAATCTTAACTTTAAAGCACTTGTTACATTGAATATAGTGCATATATATCAAGACTAAGACTTTGGTTTTAATCCTTGTAAACTCCTTTTTCCCCATATTCCCTCGTGTTCAAAAAAAAAAAAAAAATAACAATTAATATATATAATCTATATAAATAAAATTTTTAAAATAATTTAAAAAAAAAAAAAAAACTCTAAAAATATGAATTTTTTAATAAATATTTTTAAAAATTAACTTTTAAATTTAGTATTTTATTTATGTAGTTCATAAATATTAAGTTTTAGATTAATTAAATATATCAAACTAATTTATTGATTATAAAAAAATAATATCACTAATTATATATTAAAAATATAAATTTCTTAATCAAATAATTATAAATTAAATGCTAGATCATTTTAAAAATTGACATATATTATTTATATTAATAAAATATTAAATTTAGTTATTGGTTTTTGAAAATATTCATTAAAAAATACTGTTTTTTAAGTTGAAATTTTAATTTTTTAATGGAGTTGAACTTGATATGTATTATTTTTAATAGGTATCAAAATTGATACAAATTATTATAAAAGTATTACATTATAATAAATATTTTTTAAAACTAATTGTTAGATTGAATTACTTGTAATATTCTATTAACATAGATCATGTAAGTTAAAATTTAAATTTATTGAATATACTTAATTAGTTTACATTATAAAAAATTTAATATAATTACAAACTATGTTAAAAATTATATAATTTTTTTATTAAATAATTATAAATATTAAATTAACTTAAAAATAAGCACAAATAATATATACCAATAAAATATTAAATTCAATAGGTAGTTTTCAAAGAAATATTGATCGGAGGGTGCTCCTTAAACGATGAATACAGTTCGTGGCTTATATTAAAGGGGTATCTGCTTTTTTTCAAGATGTTAATTAAAGCTTTATTGTTAACGCGGATTGCTCGTGCGTGGAAAAACTCTGTCGTCTCCCGTGCCAACCTTCAAGGCTTCAACTATAGTTCAACCTTACTACATATGACACAAGTTCTTCGAAACGGCATCGTCGCTTGAGCTAGCTCTTCATTACAATGAGCGCATTAATCTTCTCGAAGTCGCTTACCAAGAGTGAAATTGAGAAGGCACTGTCGATTCCTCCATCCCAGCATCACAACTCCTTCCCACCCGTTGGAAATGACTTCAAAGCGCATGTTCGTGCAATAGATGAAAGAGATAAAATTTGGACTTTTAAATGCTCAATTCGTAGTAAGGAATTGTATTCAGAACCTTTTGTTTTTGAAGGATGGCTCGATTTTGTTCGGAATGTAAACCTTCAGATAGGTGATTAGGTTGAGTTTTACAGAGAGGAGCAAGCCTCAGTAGCTCCTTTCAAGATTATAGTGAAGAAGGCTGTTATAATATTTGGTAGAGTTATTGCGTATTCTCCGACCGGAATGGATTATGTTTAGTGTTAATAATTAGTCTGCCCAGTGAAAAACATATAGATCGAGGAGGTCAACATTGTAGTTGAGCTGCGGTGTTAGATTTGTTAGTTTTGAGAGTGTGTTCCGCACGTTACAGACAAAGTGACAAATGCCACGGCCTTAGTGGCGACCCCACTAAGGGATCTTGAGTTCAAGACTGAGTTATGTTGCAGTAGCATGTGTAATTGCCCTCTTTCATTGAAAAAAAAAAAGAGTGTGTGAGTTTTTATTTATTTATCTATTTATTTTAGAGTGAAATTAAACAACTCAATTAAAGTGGTTTAGCAAAAAAGAATCAAAAAATATAAAATATTTTTTCCCTAGGGAAAATGGTGCTTATTTTTGATAATTTATTTAGGAATAAAGGGATTTAAAAGTATGTAAATTTTTTAAATGGATGCATGTCAACCCATCTAGCCCTAGGTGAATGTTTTCTATATTTTATTGGATGTAATTGTGTATTGCATTGTAAAATGATGTGAACTTTGTTGTGGTACCATCTATGCTTAAAGAAAGTGAAGAAGTGTGTTTGATTTATAAGTGGTATGTTTGAGTATTTATTCTTTCACCTTATCACACTAGAGAAGAAGAATTTTAAACTTTATTTTTTAAAAAATTTGTTTTGTTTGGACAGTTATAATATTTTCAACTAGGTTGTTTTAAAAAAAAACAATGATTATAATTTTTAATTTAATACATTTTATAATATATTTATTAAAAAATTATTTTTTAAAAAATTTAAATTTAAGATAAAAAAATATTTATTTATAAAATTTAATAGTAGAATTGGTAAGTGTTAGCAAATGTATTAAAACTTAATGGTTGAATTGGTAGGTATTAACAAATGTATTGAATTGAGAGGTTTATTAATCATTATCCTTAAAAAAATGAAAATTGTAAAAAAGGAATAATGATATTGAGGATAAAAATTTAAAACTAATGATATGGTTTATATTACGTCATTAAATTATTTGATATATATAATATTATGAGTCTAAAAAAAAGGTTAATTATTAAATAATATAAGATTTATTTTTTAATATTTTAAATAACATGATTTATATCTTATATATCAAAATTTAATTTTATTTATCATTATTCTAATAAAAAATTATAAAAAAAAAGTAATTACATTAAATTGGATTGAATTAGTTTTTTTAAAAGTCAGAAAAAAATTTCGTTTTCAATTTTCATTTATTAGTACGGTTCGTTTTTCTCCACATGAAACGGTGCCGTTGAGTGTCCTTCCCGGTCGTCGAAAATACATTTTTTTCCTCTAAAATTTTTTGCGTTCGCTGCAATCACCGGACACCGCTTCTCTCGCCTCTCTCCGATTGGAAAATGGCTCCAAAAAAGAAGCCACAGAAGCAGGGCAAGCAAAAACCAGCTTCAACTTCCGCTTCTTCATCAAAGAACAATAAACAGCCGTCGTCTGGTTCAAGGCTCCAGCTATCGGCCGAGAACGAGAACCGGCTGCGCCGCCTATTACTCAACTCGAACCGCCCCGCCCAACCACAGCCGGAACCTGTCCCTGCACAGGATTCGCTCTCCAAGGCTCAGAAGGCTAAGAAGCTTAAAGCAGTTTACGAAAAGCTCTCTTGCGAAGGATTTTCTAATGATCAGATTGAACTCGCTCTTTCCTCACTCAAGGTGACGCCGTTTAATCTTTTTTCAGAGAAATTGAATCGACATTGACTCTTGGAGAGGAAGCAAAGAGCTTATTGTGCTGCGATCAATTTATCATGTTCTGTTTGGTTGCCAAGAAAAAAAAAATAATGGAGAAGATTTAGCAGAATACTTGTTATTATTATTATTATTTTTAACAAGAGGATAGAAAATTTTGAATGGAATTTTCTGATATTTGTTGATTTTTTTTTTCTTGGAGTTAATAGTATTTTATTGTTCATGTTAATTTAGATGTTTTTGGCTTTGTTTGAGTAGGATGCTGCTACTTTTGAGGCTGCACTTGATTGGTTATGCTTGAACTTGCCTAGGAATGAGCTTCCTCTGAAATTTTCTAGTGGGACTTCTCTGCATTATGATGGAGGTACTTTACTAGATTTAATGGCTTTATGCATTTCTACTGTCAGTCCAAGTTCACTAGCAAACAGGTTATATCTGATGTTTCACTATGTTTTCTGCTGAAATCTTTCAGGAGGTTCTGTTAGTGTTATATCAGTTGCACGGGATGACTGGACTCCTACTGTGGACCCATCTACTAGGATTAAGGGAAACTTAGAGGAACTTTCTCTTAGAATCAAGGAGCGGTCAGATGAAGACACTCTCAATCGATGCCAACCATCACAAGCAGATTGGATCCGCCAATATATGGAGCAGGAAGAAGAGGTAAGCTGACAGAAAGAACTTGCTGCCAATTATTCATGCAAGAGAAAGGTCTAGCGAATTCCTATTTCAGTGTTCCTTTCCTGGAAATAATAGTTTTACAATGTTTGCAGAATGAACCTGAATCCTGGGAAGATGAAGTAGTTAGTGAGTGTTCCTCCAAAGAGGTACATTTCTCAAATAGATATTTCTGTTAAGTAATGAGGTTTCTCTTTTGTATATGCTGGACTAGCTTGTCTGTGTAATAGAATTTGTTCCTATTTTTTAAAGAATGGTAAGTAGCATTCTTTTTAAAGCTTAGATTTGGAAATCTAGTTTTCTTGAGTTATTGATGGCACTTACTTGGATGGATATCCTTTTCAATGCCACATTTAATCCCAACTACTTTTTGATGTGACAAGATTTATATCCTTTCTTATGTTATATTTTGTGTCAATTCACAATTGATTTCTGGACAGAGGTCTTATGATGTTATTTTCCGAGAGTATCACGCAGCTCGATTAGAAGCTGCAAAAGCTAAGGAAAAGGGGGATAAAAATAATCAGGAGAATGCAGGCAATATTATCCGCAAACTCAAGCAAGAGCTCTCTGCTTTAGGTTAGATTCAATTTCTTTTGTGATCCAGAAAATAAATTCACTCAGCACCTTCTTTTATGAGCTGTTTCTATTTACCATGCAGGATTATCAGATGAGAGTTTTGCATCTGATTTTTGGCATGCATGTATTTCTGAGGACAATGTGGCTTATGAGCACCCCAAGGCAACAACATCAGGTGATGAAGGTCGTTCAGCCCTTCTACATTCAGATGAAGTAACTGATGGTGGGATTGATATGGAGTGCTGCATTTCCAAAGAATTTCTGGACACATCTATTTCTTCTGCTGCATCTGTTCAGGAAAAACTTGTCTTAGAAGAGGCATCAGAAGATGTGGAGCTTGGTGATTTCTTCTTAGAAGATGCCTCATCTGCTGATGCTTTACCTCCTGAAATATTGGAGTTACAGAAGAAAGAATGGATGAGAGATTTATCCAGTGAGAAAAATTTAGAGAAATTAGATGGAATCTGGAAGAAGGTAATAACTAAATATCCTATAAACTTGTTGATGCTGGCATCCGAGAAAATGTTCATCTATCCACCTTAACTTTCCTTTCTCTCCCTATTTGGGAATACTTTAATGCAATGCATTTGGAATGCTACTTTTTCAGTCTTGGAGATTCTGGGCAGTATGATTTTTAACTCATAATTTTCAAAAATTTTTATTAATTGACACAAGTTTCCTCAAGAGGTTAAACTGGTAGTTACTTTCTCTTTAGGTTAGTTTTAATGAAAAAGGTTGTCTATCACCTGAACTTTCATTTTCTTTTGGTTCTAAAGTTTTCAAAATTCTCATTAGCTTGCCACAGTCTGTTCAGTATGTACAATCCAGTTTTTAGAATGTCTTTATTTTTTAGGCCACACCTCATCCAGATTTCAAATATATGCTGTCTGGCCTTGTTATATTGAGTTTTTTGACATTTTTTATGTGTTCTGAAATAATGACAGGGGGACCCAAAAAAGATCCCTAAAGCTGTTCTTCATCAATTATGCCAAAGATCAGGGTGGGAAGCACCAAAATTTGATAAAGTGCTTGAAAAAGGAAAACATTTCTCTTATACTGTTAGTGTGTTGCGTAAAGCTAGTGGGAGGGGGAAGAGCAGAAAAGCTGGGGGTCTGATCACCCTTCAGCTTCCAGACAAGAATGAAACTTTTGAATCTGCTGAGGTATAATAAATTGAGGTGCTCTTATTATTAATGTTCAGGGCAGTGCATCTGGTAAGAAATGAATTAGGTGGAAAAATTTTTGGGTAACGTAAGAAAGCATTTGTCTTTCCTCCACTCTTTAGACCTAAAATCCTAAAAAAGATGGTAATAGATTGTTTTTGACAAATGTGCAGAGGCATGTACAGCATATAATATGATTTCCTTATGGAATAAATCAATAAAATAAGACCTTTGTCTTGGTTAAGTAGCCTTGGGAGCTCAGGATGCTTAACTTTCTATGACATTGGTTTTGGTCTTCTGTAATGGTGATTGGTAGTGTATTGTTTTATTATTGGATAATGAGATACAGACAAGCTACCCTTGCCCCTTGGTGTAAGACTGGCCTATTGTTTATCTTCCCTCGGGATATATGTTTTACAAAGCTAGTGCTGCATTATGTTTTCCCAGTGTTTGTATGTTTCCTAGCTGTCATCTTGCTTGCTGGTGGCTCAAGCTCTTTCTCCCAAATTTTGATTTGTGATTGTGAAAAACCTTTATATTTAAGTATGGATGCATCAAATAGTTCTATCTTTCCAATGAACTTGTGTGTACATTATGAAATGCAGCCAATAATTGGTTGGAAAATCTTTTAGGTTGCTATCTTAAAACGAATCTTGTTAGGACTTAGTATTCTTTTATTTGGGGTTTTGATATTCTTCAAACTATAGTGCATATTGCTATATGTTAGCTCCTATATAGTAGGTTTTTACTTGGTCACATTTCTTCCCCAGTTATTTTAATGCCTTTCACTAGAAAAATCAATTAGAGAAGTTTATGCAGCTGTTAATTTTTTCTTCTTAATAACAGGATGCACAGAACAGAGTTGCGGCTTTTGCTCTTTGTCACCTGTTTCCTGATCTGCCGGTTCACTTAATAATTACAGAGCCTTATGCTGCTCTTGTTATGAAATGGAAAGAAGGTTATCATCTATGCATTGAAGCTGTTTGATTGGGAAACCAAAAGTAACTATTTGAAAATTTGATAACATTTTTCAACTTTATTTTTCATCCTAACTTTGATTTAATCAGCTCATTCAGTTTGGATTGTGGAGTTAATTGAGACCCTTGCTTACCAAAAAGAGAATGAAGAAAATATGTTTTTTAGATTCTTAACAGTAAGTTGCTGTCTGCCTGTCCCTTTAATTGTGCCTAAAACATTTGAAAGTTGCAGATGAATCATCAAGCAATATAGAAACTTGTGAGGAAGAAAGAAGAGCTGGGTTTGTGGATTGGCTACTGGGTGCAGATGGTTCAAATCCAGAGCTTCTTAATGATGTTACCAATAGTTCTCCTTCAGAAGTGTTTCAAGATTCCCCTGTTGAAGAAAGTAAAAATTCAAGTTTTGCTGGCACTGATCCAATAGCTGAAAGTACGTTTTTCACCTCTATTTTAGTATGTTTTAAGCAGATAATCTTGCCTAGCAGTTGCTTTTAAGGGATATAAAATTGCTAATGGGCATTTTTACGTTACTATTATCTATCGTATTATGTGCCAGTTGCATTTTCCCTTCTCTATTCCTTTCTGGAAGAAGAGATAGAAATGGTTAGGAATATGCTGGTAATTGGATTAATGAAATTTTAGATATCATTTAGGAGATTCTAAATATGCTATCATGCCCTAGCAAATAAGGAATTGATGAACAGAAACAACAGATTACTTTAAAGCAAGAGGAAATCATTTGCTGAAAGTAACAGAGTTTTTCCCTTCTTTTTTTGTTTTTATGAAATAAAGTGAAGTGATTTTGATTATGTTGTCATTTGTTTCTTTTTGTTTTTCACTCATCATACTGCAGGAGTAAGCTATGCTAAAGAAGAGGAGAATGTATATTTGAGGCAGGAACAAGAGACCAAGAAGAGAACACATAAATACAAGGTAGGTATACTTTTGTTTTTATATTGGTAGGCTTTTACTGCAATCCATATTATAAGCATTTTCTTTTTACACATATTTTGTTTTTCAGGAGATGTTGAAAACTAGATCTGCTCTTCCTATTGCTGGCATGAAAGATGACATTTTGCAGTTGCTAAAGGATAATAATGTTCTTGTTGTTTGTGGAGAAACAGGTTCTGGAAAGACCACCCAGGTTATGCAAAACTTCCACCTTTGATTGATCTTCTTAATGTCCCCATCTTGAATTTGGAGTTCACGCATTGTACTTGCTTTCTGTTCCATTCTAAATCTGCCCTATGGCCTGTTTTCTGATCCATAATGTAGGTTCCTCAATTCATATTGGATGATATGATTGAATCAGGATGTGGTGGACACTGTAACATCATATGCACCCAACCAAGGCGAATAGCAGTGAGTAAATGGTGAAAAATTGTTGATTTTTTCTTCCCTAAGAGTGACCAATTGTCTATTGTTTGTCCTTTTGACCATTCTTACTGTCAGTTACTGCTATTTTTTTTTTTAGTTCCACTAGGAAAAAAATTGTCTTATTAGAGAAAATAATATTGGGGAGCATATTACATGCATTTAAAGTGTGGACTGATGTAAATTACACCTGGAAGATGAAAACTGCAAATCAGACTTTTCATCCATTCAAAGGAAAATAGAAAAGATGGAAAAACCATGAAGCTAGTTTCTAGAAGACCTTTTCCCATATCAAGAAGCTAATCAAGCTATTCTACTTGATTGGCCACCCTATTGCATTTGTTTCTTTATTATGCAGGCAATTTCTGTTGCTGAGAGAGTTGCTGATGAGCGATGTGAACCTTCTCCAGGGTCAGCTGGTTCTCTGGTTGGTTATCAAGTTCGCCTTGATAGTGCAAGGTGTTCATGTCCTTCCTGTCTCTTTACTGTTTCTTGGATATTTTAAATGAGCTGCACCAAAAATTCAGTGGTAATGCTAAATTAGGCTTAATCTTTAATTTTGCTTTGTTTGAATCAATTTATCTGATTTGGAATGAGATTAACTGTGGTTTGGTGGAAGTTTTCTCTACTCAGTTATGGGCTTTAAGATAAAAGATTGCATCATTATAAACAGTTTTCAGTATGTGACTTGTGATGTCCATGGTAGTTTTATGGAGATGAATGAGGCTCAAAATTATTGATTGTTAAGGAGCTTTGAAAGAGATTTTGAATTTTTGTATGTTTTCTGCCACCAATAATCAATAATCAAACTAACATTTATCTCTGGTGACCTTTAGAGGTTGTTGTGACTTAATGTTGTTATGTTCACTTAGGATGACTCCTCTGCCAAATTGCTGAGTCGTTTCTTGAGAGGGCAAATACTCTTGCCAGTAGCTTTCTTTTAACCTCTAGTAAAAGGTTGATGTGATATTTTTGCACTTGGCCTTAAATGCTCACTAAGTTTTTGTGTATCAGTATTGCTGCCACAATAATCTTGTTGCTTGTGCTGTATTTTTTAGGAATGAGAAAACAAAACTTCTCTTTTGTACAACGGGCATTCTTCTGAGAAAGCTTGCGGTATGCCCTAGTTTTATACTTTGAACCTTAGATCCAAAATTTATGTTTTACCACGTAGTTTGAAAGGCTAGATAGTTATGATATTTAGTTTGCATTCGTTTACTTTGGTGCATATCCATTTTTGTTTCTTAAAAGTTGTAGTCTCACTTTTGGAATTATAACCTTAAGTTGCTTCAATATTTGCAGGGGGATAAAATCTTGAGTGGTGTCACTCATATCATAGTTGATGAAGTGCATGAACGGTCACTTTTGGTGGGTGATTCAACTCAGCTTTAATACCATTTTGTAACAATCACAATGACACTTGTTGTGCAAAACAACTTATCAAGTGTGGACATTTATTTATTTATTTTTGTTGGGGTGTTGGGCTGTGGGGTGGGGGGTGGGGGGCTGTGGAGGTATTAAATTTACTATTTTATACTCAATATCTAACTATGGAAGACTCCTTTGCACCTGGAAAAGTTGACCCATGCCCCTTTTCAACAGGGTGATTTTCTACTAATTGTTCTGAAGAACCTGATTGAGATGCAATCTGCTCATGGCAATCCTAAACTGAAAGTTATTCTTATGTATGTTTCTGTTCTTTTAGTTTCTTTATAGTTAATCCATAACTTGTCCAACTGTTATTTTTGACTAAGCTGGTCTTCAATTCCCAACTTTCCCTTCTCTTTCTTCTGTTTATTTAACTATGCTCTCAACCTTCAGGTCTGCAACAGTTGATTCTGATTTATTTTCAAGATACTTTGGACATTGCCCAGTGATTGCTGCAGAAGGTCGAACACATCCTGTGACAACATACTTTCTTGAGGATATATATGAAAGTATCAACTACTGCCTTGCATCAGATTCTGCAGCTTCTCTAAGAAATGAAGCATCTACAAAAGCGATGGTATACAATAATATGATCTGAAATATTAGCACTGCTTCCTGGCTAATCATTTCTCTGTTTCACTTTGCAAAATTTTATGGGGCCTCCATAACATTTTACTCATGTATTTCTTGTAGTTCTTATGTATGCTATGGTAAAAAGTCAAATTAGCAAGTTGAAGAGTACAAAGTTGCTATTCTGTTATGTTGTTATGGTGGCACTGCATCTCCTGGAATTTTTTTTTTTTTTAGTGTGAATGCAGTTGATTGTAGGGATGCCAACCATCAGATTTACTGATAAATAAAGTTTTCTTGAATTTGGATAGTTCAAAGAACTTTTTAAAAGTTGTCAGTTGCTTTCTATGTTAATGTTAGAGATTGCTTTCAAATGTAACATACTGAATGACATGGTGAAATTCTCACTTTTTGTTGATTCAACTGATTATGAGTGTATTGGGGAGTGTTCTGTTGATTCCATTCTCTAACTAATGAAGCCTTGCAATGCACTCCAACAGCAGCAGAGTGGTTCAGTTAACAACCGTAGAGGAAAGAAGAATCTTGTCTTGTCTGCATGGGGTGATGATTCCCTTCTTTCAGAGGATTATATTAACCCATATTATGTTGCAACCAGTTATCAGTCATACAGTGAGCAAACACAGCAAAATCTTGTAAGCCCTATCATGCATATTTGATTGCGTTAATTGCTTTATTTTCTTTTTGTCTAACTTTGTGATTCATTAATTTAACAACTTGAGATTTTTCTTTTTCTCAACAGAAAAGATTGAATGAGGATGTCATTGATTATGATCTGCTTGAGGACTTGGTTTATCATGTAGATGAGACTTGTGGGGAGGGTGCCATACTCATCTTTTTGCCAGTAAGCTATCCTCAAATCATTTATGTTAATCAATCCAGTACTGTGTTCAGAATAAACTAAGTATGATCTTCCATTGCTTTTCAGGGGGTTTCAGAAATTTACATGTTACTTGATAGGTTAGCTGCTTCTTATCGCTTTGGTGGGCCATCTTCTGATTGGCTTCTGCCTTTACATTCATCTATTGCATCAACTGATCAGAAAAAGGTTTTTTTACGTCCTCCTGACAACATACGTAAGGTAGGGTTGTTACTTGATTTGATTATTCATTTATAATGTGCTAAAGCTATTAAAAATATGAACAAAAATCAAAGTAGTTAATTTTTTTTTGTTATTTTCTTTATGAGAAAAAAAAATCTCTTTCGGATGTAATACTGTTTGGTGCACGTACTGTCTATACTGTTTTCCAGTTTAATTATGTTTTCTGAAAGGGAGAAGTCCATTCCTGTTAAAAATTTGTGGTAACATTCTGATGAATAACGCTTTCAAATAAAACTTATAGGAAGGCGAAACTGTCCCTCTTCTTATCAGAACTACTACTAGTATAGTTAGTGAGCTTTAATTTGGTTATGTGCATTCTTGGAGTAAAGTCCTTCAATCTTAGCTGTTTTTAATAATCAATGAGCTTGGATCTTAATAGTGACTTTCAGATTTCAGAAACACTAGTGTAGTTAGAAGGCCTTAGGCTTTATCAGGTGCATTCTTGGATTAAGTTCCTTGCATCCTTAGTTTTTCCTGATAATCATGGGCCTTAATGGTGCCAATGGCATCTATCTTATATCTTCTTCTTCTTACCAAAAAAATGCTTGCACCAAAAATGGTGCCAATGGCATCTATTTTGTATCTTCTTCTTCTTCCCATTGGAATTGTTTGCACCAAAATGCAGTGGAGGGGTTCCATCCATTCTCAGGTACCGGGTAAGGCTCCACCCTCTATTGTGGTGGCCCATTGGAATTGTTTGCACCAAAATGCAGTGGAGGGGTTCAAACTTGTGTTTTCAGCATAGTTCTCATAACTTCTTACCACTTGAGCCAATCCCAATGGGTTCATTTTTCTTGTATTTGTTTTGAGAGAACTTTTGCTCTCTCCCTTGGCATCTGTCATGACCAACTGGAAGCCTTTTTCCTATGTTATTGTATTGTTTCTGCTCATCATTTAGTAATTTCATGCTGTCTTTTTAAAACCCACTGTTAGTATCAATTGCCCTTTGTAGTAAATGAAATGTGTGATATTTATATGTGATTAATAAAACATTCTGGGAGTTTTATGTGCCTGCTTGTTTGATGGATACATTATATAATTTTTAAAGATGAAATAACTTTTTTGCTCTAAAACTCTTTACTTTATCTTCAAAATGTTCCAGATTATTATAGCTACAAATATTGCAGAGACCAGCATAACAATTGATGATGTGGTTTATGTGATTGACTGTGGAAAGCACAAGGAAAATCGATATAATCCACAAAAGGTCTGTGTTTTTGTTGTTGTAAATTACCACTTAATTAGAGAATGTAAACTGTAATAAATTTCTGATTCTAATTTTTTACTTGATTGCAATGTTTAGACGTTTGTTTAAGTAGATTTGTGTAAGAAAGTATTTGAGTTATGTGGTAATTGCATCAGCTTTTTCTTCTTTATTTTTGTCTGATTTCATGCCTGAGTGAGATATAGACATAATAAATCCTTTCTCCCACTGACCCAAATAAGTGTATGATAAAGATCAAATGGAAGCATCTTTAAGCATGTTTTGTGCAACTTCAGTATTTAATTACATGTCTGGATATTTTGGTTAATTAGTAGGCTTCTTAGTTCTGCAGTAGTGAAATGCAACATGTGTTCATCGCCTTGATTATGGTGGTTTATATTTTGTGCTTTGATTTGGGCTTGAGAAGCTTTTTCAGTAGTAAGGATTTGGAATACGAAAATAGGGGTACAAATTGTGAAAAGAACAGGTCTACCCCCAAAATACTTACCAAAGTGAATTAAGATGAATAAAAAGAATTGGATTAAAATATTTGGGTACCTTTGTTTTGTTGTCTTTAATATATGTGACACAGTATGATGAATAACATTTCTAAATATATAGCATGCGAAGGGAACTACCTGAAAGGAATGAATGTCATGTCATTTTTTAGGAAACTCCTTATCCTTATGTTCGAATCTTCTTGTTGTGAGTAATTGATGTTTTGAATCAACAACTTAAGCTATTATGCTTGCATTCAAGTGCTCTAATTGGTTATTGTAGAAACTATCAAGTATGGTTGAAGATTGGATATCTAAAGCAAATGCAAAACAACGGCGAGGAAGAGCTGGACGTGTTAAACCTGGAATATGCTTTTCCTTGTATACACGTTATAGATTTGAAAAGCTCATGCGTCCTTATCAGGTGATCTTTCCTGTTGAAAGATGTTATGAATTGATGAGCTTTGTATATCTATCCTGGAACTTATATTCCTGACTATCGATTACGCTGTTGTTCCAAGGTTCCTGAAATGCTTCGCATGCCTTTGGTAGAACTGTGTTTACAAATTAAGTTACTTAATCTGGGTCACGTAAAGCTGTTTTTATCCAAGGTAAGCAATCCTCTCTTTAGATCACATATCTTTCTCCTAGCTTTGCTTGTTATACTTAGGAGTTAGGACTTGAAATCTTATGCCCTCTTCATTAGGTGAAGACTACTTTTTTTTCTCTATTTTTGTTTTTGGTTTATATTCATCTTCTTTTTTTGTTTTTTTTTTTTTTGGTTTTGGGTTTTTGGCTTTTGCTCCTGCTGAGGCTGTTGGTTTTGGTTTCTCCTTGTTATTTTTGTTTGAGGTCCTTTTCCTTTTGCCCTTATGGTTCTTGGTCGTTGTCTTTGGCTGTTGATCTTGCTCTGGCTTTGTCTTTGTCTTTTTTTGCTTTTGTAATGTTCTTGTTCTTTGTCATTTCTATTTATGTGGAGCTTATGATTGTGATTTGTTTTTGTTATTCTTTTTTTGTTTTTTTTTGCTTAAGAGTCATTGTTTTTTCTTTTTTTTTTTTTTGCATTAGATTTTTTTTTGTCTTTTGGAATTGCATTTTCTTTGGCTTGTTATGCTTTGACTGAGTCACTTTTCAGGTTGGTGCTATTGAGGGAAATGAAGAGTTGACGCCACTTGGACATCATTTGGCAAAGCTTCCTGTTGATGTATTGATTGGAAAGGTTTATCTTCAAATATTTTATTTTTTCTGTTAGTCTTCCTTCAGTCTCTTAATATGGGTACTTTTACTTTTACCCCCTGAGAAATAAATGCTAATGAATCATTTGTGCAATTTTTATTATTTGTATTGCTTAGTAAACATTGTTAAATGACATTGAGGATCAATTAACTCATAATGACTATACTTTTCCCATATTTTCTTAAGGATCAATTAACTATCAACATTAAAAGAATTTTAAAAATGTTGTATTAAAGATTAAAGAAAAGTGAAAGGAATTGACATGCTCTGAGGACAGCCTGTGGAGTCTTGACTCGATTCAGGAAAGGTTGGCCTGTTAAAGTGATTCTTTTGATGGATTGGGCTTGATATGGTCTTGGCCTTTTACCCCAAGTACATGAAATTGCAGTATGTAAATTGAATTTACTATGAATAATTTTCATTTTTTGGATGCTTTTTCACACTAAGACGCACATCTCAAAGAAACATCAAAGATTCTCTCTGTTAAACTGTTGAGTAATTTAAGCTTTCATTGTACCAAATATGTTAATTCCATTTTTCTTTGAAACTGCAGATGCTGCTGTATGGTGGGATATTTGGTTGCTTATCTCCTATACTCTCCATATCAGCGTTTTTGAGCTATAAATCTCCATTTGTATATCCAAAAGATGAGGTATTTTTATTTCTATGCTTTGCACCATTTGTATACTGTTTATGCACCTCCAGAAGAGAAAATATTTGCCTTACTGGCATAATTTTGTTTCTAATTTCAGAGGCAAAATGTTGAAAGAGCTAAATTGGCCCTGTTGTCTGACAACCCAGAGGGCTCAATTGATTCCAATGACAGTGACAGGCAGTCTGATCACCTTCTAATGATGGTTACATACAGGAAATGGGAGAGGATTTTGCGAGAGGTTGATAATAAGTTTTTGTTGCCTTATGTTGACAGAAATTATATCTAACTCTGAATAATATTTGCCAGTTTAGTTTGCTGGGCACCGTTGTCCATGTGGTGTTATACATTTCTGTACCATCACAGCACCCAGCTGCTATGTCCTTTCCTTCTCTCTTTTATTTTACATTCTGCCTGGAATAATTTTAGAAGTTGACTAATTTATGCTTTCAAGTGGAGTTGTTAGAAGTTATAAACCATTATTCTACTACTTGAATTAATGGCTTGCCTTATGGTTGTGACATGTGCTATTGTGCATCTTTAACTGGCTGCTTCACTAATTTGAGAAATTTCAATTCTTGCAGAAAGGGGTCAATGCTGCCCAGCAGTTCTGCAATTCTTATTTTTTAAGTAGTTCAGTTATGCACATGATAAGGTTTAGTTTTCTTATTTTTCACCGTCTTCATATATTTTTCTTAATTTTTTCACTAGTATGTGAGTGGTTTTTATGTGCTTAATATGTAGGATGATAACTGATATATTGTTGAAATAACTTTAGCTGTTAAATGGCAGTATGTGCATTATCTGCTTTTAGAATATAAATTTCAATTCTATGGTTGTTAACTTATACAGAGCAGTTATAGAGACTGGAGAAAGAATTTCGACCGTAGAAGCCACTATCATTTGATAATATTAATTATCTACATTTCTAGAAACAAATGGATATGTACGAGATTATGTCTTGGGGAAATGAGAGATTAATGAATTTATAAAATTAGACAGTAGATTGCCAGTTTGTGTCTTTTCATGTACTCCATCATTGTTAAGGAGAAATTTTACTGTGAAGAGCACATCTGATAAATTCATTAATTTTCTCCTATAGGATATTTACCTGAAAAATACTTTCAAATTATCTATTCCAATATGCCACCTAATTCTTTATTGATTGCCAACTCATTTTTGCATGTGAAAAAATGTCAGAGACATGAGAATACAGTTTGGGACATTGCTAGCAGATATCGGATTCATCAATCTTCCAGCAGATCATCAGGTTTGCACCTTTTGATTCTTGATTTGTTTAGAATCTATGCAACTTGAAGTGGTACTCCTTTATTCTTTTCTGTTAAATATGATAAAATTGTAAATTAGAGCGCACAACAATAATTTTTATGTTAAGCCTATTATATTAGATCACAATAGCTTAAATTATTTTTTGTTCCACTCTAAATTGTTGTTATTTTATTTTTATTTAAAACTCCATTTTAGGTAGCTTTTATTTATCTGAAAATGTTTCTGTGGTTTTCACAAGGATAAAGTTTCTTGGTTCATAGGTTAAGGGAAAAAAGAAAGAGAATCTTGATGGTTGGTTTTCTGATAACTCAAAACCATTCAACTTTTATTCAAATCATTCAGCAGTTGTGAAGGTAAGGTGGACATGACTTTTGGTTGTTTGAAGTTCCATTTGCCCTTTCACTGTTCCATATTAATAAAGTAACCTCGAACTTACTTGAATCTCTTTTATGGCAAAAGACGGCTATCATATGTTTTCATTGAAATCAACCTTTAAACTTATGATTCACCATAGTCTTTTATGTAACTGTAATCTTTTCCAGAATTAAATAAAAAAGAAAAGGAAAGAACTGAAAACCCCATTGTTGTATATATTCATATCTTTTCTATACGGTATATCATCAGAATTCAGTTTTCTGTCCTAACTATTCTAAACAAGGATCTATGTCTGTATCATTTGTGGTTTCGCAGTCCGCAGACATAAACACTGTTCCATTTTCTGTCCTTCAAAAAGTTTATTTTGTATCTCTTTTTGAATTTTTCTGCATTGGATAAGAATTTACAATATATCTCCCACTTGATGTTTATCTGAATAGTTTTAGTGGCACCTTTGCAGGCAATACTATGTGCGGGTTTGTATCCTAATGTGGCTGCCACAGAGCAAGGCATTGCGGGAGCAGCTCTCGGAAGAGTTAAACTAACCAATATTTCTGAATCAAAGAGTTATCCGGTTTGGTATGATGGAAGACGAGAGGTTCACATACACCCTTCTTCAATCAACAGTAGCTTAAAAGCATTTCAGCACTCATTCCTTGTCTTCCTTGAAAAGGTTTGTAGACTTCTAGATGATGGATTTAGTTTTTTTCTCGTTTGTACACCAAACTTTTTTTTATTATCTGATGATTCTGATCAATAATGATGTCTGGTTAGTAATGATGTGTTTCTAAGAGAATCCAATCCACTCTAGAATGAGAACTAAACCATCATAAAAGAGGCTAATGTAAAATTGGTGAAGAAGGAGTTGCATAATTGAACATGAATCAATCAGCCAAGGATTTGTGTTGGTATTTACCTAGATAATACATGCAACTTTCCTTTGATAATATGATAACTTGCAAAGTTGCAAACTCGATATATTACCTCTTTTCATGAAAATATTTCGTTTTTTCCTAAGTTTTGTATGTTTACTGAAATTGTTTGTTATCTGTTATTTACTTGTTTCTGTAAGAAGTTCTTGAATGCTATGAGGTAGTTTTGTCCCACCATAGGTATCACCCTTTTGTGGTAAAATTGCTGCTTCACAAGGACAACTTGCCACAAAAGGGAAAACAGAAACAACTTAGAAGTTCAAGTGCTAAGCATGATACCGAATGGAAGAATCAATATTTTATTTGTTTAAATTGCAACTCTATGTGAGGTACCTTGTTTCTTGGAATTTCTAGACGTGAGTCTAAGAATCTTAGTAAAAGGAACAAATATGGTGGAGTTTACCCATACCTCTCTGTATCATAAAATCAAACTGAAAGAAAGGAAAAATGCCCGTGGCTCTGGAGGGATAACATAGGCATGTCTTGCAAAGGGAAGTTTTATTGCAGTAAAAATGAACCTAAGGTGTTAGGTAGCATACTTCATATTCAATTAGTTTCTGATTGCAATCTAATTTTAACTTTTTCAGGTTGAAACTAACAAGGTATTTCTGCGGGATACAACCATTATCTCACCCTTCTGTATTCTGCTGTTTGGCGGCTCCATCAATATCCAGCATCAGGTATACTCCATATAATTTAGCTTCCATAAAAGTGAGTGAATATGTTCTTTATGTATAGTTGAGTTTATAAAATCATTTCACCCAAATCCATAAACAGATGAAGGCCCAGAATGGTCTTTTTACTCTAACATGATTCCTCAACAGAAGCTTGTTAGCTGAAAGTACGGCCGTTTCATATAACTTTTCCAAAAATTTATAAGATAACAAAACAAGGGCAATCGAGATTTTAACAATGAACCTTTACATGATCAAAGATAAAGGCTTTCTTTTTGGTAGTAACATGGTCAAAGAGGATGATACTATGTTAGGAACCACACCGCAAAGTTTAAGTGGCTGGCCGAGAAAATTATTTTCTATTCCTAAACATTTCAAGTATTTGTCCTCACCTGCTGTCACATTGATTCTTCAGAGAGCCTGGAAATGACGCTCCAGACAGCAGAAAGAATAAAATGACCACAAAGCTGTGGTTTCTCACTTTCTTTTTCTTTTTCTTTTTTTTAATCACTTATGCCTTTTGTTATAGCATCATTCTTGGACCAAACAGTGTCTACTTTCCATTATTGGTCTACAAGGGTGCTTCATTTCCATTTTTATTTTTATTTTTCCCATATTGTGCACCAACATTTTTGTATTTGCAGACTGGATTGGTCATGATAGATCAATGGTTAAAGCTGACAGCTCCAGCTCAGACTGCAGTCTTATTTAAGGAACTCCGATCAGCTCTTCATTCTCTGCTGAAGGATTTGATTCGAAAGCCGGAGGTATTTTCCTATAGCACAATTCTCTCGAGCCTTCTCATTATGCTGATGGATTTTGCGGCAGTCGGGCTATCCCACTAATAGAAATGCATCGGGCTATCCCACTAATAGAAATGCATCTTTAGAGTTCATCACCCATATTTCTTTCCTTGACTGGGTTTTCACCGAATTTGCATGATTTTCTTTGTTCCACAGAATGCGACAATTGTCAATAATGAGGTCGTGAGGTCCATAGTTGATTTATTGTTAGAGGAAGACAAACCGTCAAAATGATTAGTACCAAGGAACAAGTCACAGATTTGCAAGCCATTGTCTTGGATGTAAGAGGCGTTCACCCTGAATTTTGAATCTTTTACACAATTCTGTATATTTATATATTCATTAATCTCTTACGTTTGCTTAGAGATTCGTTTTAAGAAGCCATAAATATGCAGTGGCAAAAGGTACCATTTTGCCCCTGAACTTTTCGACTTTTAGGGTTTTTGCCCTCCATATTACAATACATGAATTTTTACCCTCCACGTTTTCGAGTTGAGGAAATGAGGCAAAATTTAACGCCGGAACGTCACGTGTAGCACGTGCACCGTTGGCTTCCGTCAAGTATGCGCATGTCAGCACCAACTCAGAATTTTTTGACAACCTGGCATGCCAACTTGGAACCCACAAGCGGGAAGTCTACTTGTTGCCAATTTTTTTGTGGGCCCCACTGCTGATTAAAGGTTTTAAAAAAAAAAGTTAAATCCTCGATTCAGTCCCTTAACTTTCATTTTTAAACTAAATTTACCTCGAATTTCAAAATATTATGACTTGGCACCAAAAATATAATTTAATAAATAAAAATTTCTTTTTTTTTTTTTCTTTCCTTTTCCTTTTTTTTTTCTCCTTCTCTTTCCTTTTCTCCTTCCCCTCCCTACCGGGTTCCTCGAACCCAGCACGCCTGGGTTTGAAGGTACCCAGGCTTGGGTTCCTTGAACCCAGGCGTGCGTGCTCTGTACTCTCTTATCTCTCTCTCCGCCTCTGATCGATGTAAGTATAAAATCCTCATCTTTGGTTTTCTGTTTGTTTGCTGAGAAAGTAGATTGGAAAATCAGAGAAATTGCTGACTCGGGTATTTTAGTGTTTGAAATTTCATATTTGATAGTGATAGTATAGTCATCTAACTCCTTGTCTGCTTAAGTCTTATGTCTGTAGTCAAGACATCTACTTGTTTTGCTGTTTCTAACTCGGGAGCTGAGCTCATTGATGCTGTTCTTGATGTTGTGAGAAAGGAGGCAGAGAACTGTGATTTGTCCCAGGCGCTGGTGCTGGGTTCCTTTGAACCCAGTAGGGAGGGGAAGGAGAAAAGGAAAGAGAAGGAGAAACATTTTTTATTTATTTATTAAATTATATATTTGGTGCCAAGTCACAATATTTTGAAGTTCGAGGTAAATTTAGTTGAAAAATGAAAGTTAAGGGATTGAATGGAGGATTTAACTTTTTTTTTTAAAAACCTTTAATCAATAGTGGGGCCCACAAAAAAATTGGCAACAAGTAAACTTCCCGCTTGTGGGGTTCTAAGTTGGCATGCCAGGTTGTCAAAAAATTCTGAGTTGGTGCTAACATGCGCATACTTGACGGAAGCCAACGGTGCACATGCTACACGTGACGTTCCGACGTTAAATTTTGCCTCATTTCCTCAACTTGAAAACGTGGAGGGTAAAAATTCATGTATTGTAATATGGAGGGCAAAAACCCTAAAAGTCGAAAAGTTCAGGGGCAAAATGGTACCTTTGCCAATATGCAGTTTGAGCCATTTTTTTTCACCCAAAAAAAAAAAAAAAAAAACTCAAAAT